GAGTGTACAGGGGCCTCACGAAGGGCCTTGAAGAGGAAGGAGGTAGACAAAGAACACGTGTCTCTAGAAAGAGCTAGGATTATGAAAAAAACGTGGGCATGGAGCAGATTCTGGGCAAACCCTGGCTTCCTGATCAGCCTGCAGAACTCTGAAGAAGCCAAGCCTAGGGATACCCTGGGCCAGTGGTACCCCCAAAGAGGGCTAGATACCAGAGACCTCAACAAGAGAAGCTCGTGAGACCTGTGGCAAAGAATCCTGTTCCTGTATTGAACAGGGGGCTTAGAGGGTGAGCAGAGAAAACATCTGGGCCTTAGGTTCTGACTCTCACCTTCATCTGAGCCGTGGGAGACGGGCAGGGCCCGCCCACTCTCACCCAGCCCTCCGAGAGCTTTACAGACTCAGTCTGCCCCTCTAGTTTACCGCCCCCGCCTTAACTGCAGTCCTCCCCAGCCCAGGCTGTGAGCACCAAAGAGTAGGACATGACCTCCATTTCATGTCCCTCCTGTCTGACCCAGGGAGCAGGGAGCAGATGACAGACAGCTGCAGCGAAAACCATGTCAACAGGTTTGCCTTTATGTGCTGGATAATGCACCAGAGCATGGGATGACATTTGCAATCCACACTGAAGTGTCTTGGGGCTGCGAGAAGTCCACTGTTGAAAGGACCCTCACAAAGAGAGGGAAAGTCTGGACTGTCATTTGTATGCATCTGCTTACGAGTTGTTTCTGAGAAGTGCTTTTGTTTTGTCCATGGAGAGCGGGAGAGGTAGCTTTCACGGGCCCTCCCGGTGACACAGGAGTCTGAGCCACTGGCTTGCAGTCTCTACACCCTAGGACACTGAACACTGCACCTGGCTGTGGTGGCCCAGGGTAGACAGGCCTACTCCTCCACATGGGAAGGCAGGGGTTCACCACTAGGCGAGAGCAAGAAGCTTTCAGGTCCCAAGAAAGAAGAAAAGGCTATGTCCTCACCTCCGAGAGTGGCCAGAAGGCCTGCATGTGCTCTAACAGAAACAGCCAGGGGAGCCTTAGGCTAGACACTCCCCACCTGGCTGTTGGCCCAGGCTACACAAGCTCCCCAGAGCACCCCTCAGCCCTTGAGGACCTGACCTACTCCTTGTCCTGCCTTCCTCCAGCTCACAGGTGGAGAGAAGGCCACACTCAAAATCTCTGAACTCCACACTCCCCACTTGCACATGGTGACTATGTTCCAACAGAACACACTCTGGTGACTGGTCTGTTTAGCAGGAAACAGCTACGTCTCAACTTCCTGGCGGGGTGTGCATGAGAGGCCTGGCCCCAGGCCAGCTGCTGGTGAGAACTGCTGGCAGCCCAACTCCTGTAGATGACCCACAGGAGCCACCATCGACCAAAGAGTTCAGAGGGCCGATGCTCTTTGAAGCCACAGACTGAAAGCTTCTGCTCCTTTGATTCAATGCCAGGAATTCCTAAACAAACATGCAGATTCTCTCTCCTGCCCCAACCTCTGAAAAACATGTCTTTGTCTCTGAGGTCATGAAAATTAGTGCACCCCAGAACTCCAATGGTGACTAAGGTTCTAAGACGCTACTCAACCACCAGACCGAGGAGCCTAAGCCCTTTAGGGGACTGATTCCATTCAGCCCACACCTTTCCCAATCTTAAGGTCCCCACTCCCTTCTCAGGCATACATACCAGGTTCAACCCCAGCCATCAATCGAGGTCACAACAAAGGCCTCTCTCAGCTCCTGCAGATGCCAGGCCTATCTCTGCATCTCACTGCATTGTCTAGGCTGAGATGGAACCACAGTAGGCTCCAGGGGAAGGCCCCCCAGATGAGCCCCCTCAGGTGAAACCTAGCCATGCACCTGCATCAAAGCTGTGCTTCCGCCCCACGCCATGCCAGTACCCTCACCTGGTGCCCATGGAGTGTGTAGAGCAGCCGGCCCTCCATCAGGTCCAGGATCTTCAGGGTTGAGTCGCTGGAGGCTGTGATGAGGTAGCTTCCCGATGGGTGGAAGGAGAGGCCGTTCACGGCTGCACTGTGTACTGGAGAGAGGACAGCCATCAGGCACTGCGGGGAGGCCCACAACACAGCTGAAGCCTGGGACGGGCACTGAGAGTCACCGGTGCCTCTTGGCCTTGGGGGACCAGCCTAGGACAGCCATTACTTAACAAGGTAGGGAACCCTACATGGATGGGGACCAAGGGCAGGCAAAGGGGACACAATGAAGAAACAGAGACAGCGAGCAAGAGGCTCCCATGCTCCTTCACCTTTCCCCTTACACTGCAGTGAAACTGGAAGAGAGGAGGCAAACAGTGCTGAATGTCTGACGTGCTGTTACGCAGGGAGACCCTCCAAACACAAGACAGTGTGCTATCCTGCAGGACGGACTCATGTGGGGACAGCAAGCACAAGATGCAGCCTGTCAGGGGCCAGCAGGGCTTCAACTCCCATCCTCGTCTCCCCGCTGGCCTGCCTTGTGACCCTAAGCAGTCACCCTGACTGACCCGGGCACCTTCTTCATCCGCACCACAGCACTGCTGGGGCTGGCCTGGGGATGGATGCTACCAGTTCATCTCAACTGAACCCTTGGACCCCAGTGAGTGCCAGCATGGGTGTCCCTCTCCTCTGGCCCCTGTGCCCTTCGACTCTACTCACTTAGCATCCATGACTCCCTTCCCCACCATCCCCACCAAGCCTACCATCTATTCTGGTGCCCCTCATTCTCCAAAAAGCAGTCACCCTGACTTTGGTGGCTCGCCCATCTGTAAGGCCTTTTCACCCCTTGTTCCCAATGGGCCTAGAAGTTTCTTGCCCTGTCCCTGATCTTCAAGCTCTCCACTTAAAGTCATCTCCCCTGGGAAGCTTTCTGAGGAGAGAACTTCAAGATAAACTCCTTGCTGGGCCCTGCTCATTCGTCCTTCCAGACACCACAAGCCTCACACCAGTTCACCGCCCCTCATGTGCTGTGTTCAGACTCCCATCTGCTGTCTGGGGACGTCACCACCTCCATCAGAGACCAAGCCAAGGGCCTCACTACTGGCTCGGTGGCTGGCACCGAGTGGGACTCAGAAAATGGAGCGGGAGCAGTCACTTAGGACGGCTGTTCAGAAAGAGGCTCCTGAGGCTGCACAGCCCTTCCCTGGGGCTGAAGGCATGCTGTGGATGGAGCTAGCAGAGAAGGGCAGAGCCACGTAGTCCCCCAGGGGAAGGAGCAACATCACAGCCAGCGCATGAACCTGCTCATCATCATCAACAGCTGCTGCAAAGACCTTCAAACCTTCCTGTTCACTCCCACTGCTCTACTGAAGAAACCAGAGCAGCCGAGAGAAGCACGACCCTGATGGGTTGGCATTGCCACAAATAAAGAGGCAAGTTCAAAAGCCAGGCTCTCCCCTGGGCTCTGGGAGGATGCAGGAACCTCTGCAAGGCCCTCAGCAGAGCCCACGAGGATTACAGGAAGCCTAAGATGCTAAGCACACTGGTGTAGTGATGTGTTGGGGAGTGTGGAGACATGTTCCCAAGCATACTTAGGGGAGACAGCCAAGGCTTTATGTAATCTGGTATTTATATCTGAACAGCACGTTCCAATGACACAACCCCAGGAGGCAGCCTGCAGAAGATCTGAAGGCTTCTGCAGCCCATTCCTGGAGACCCTCAGCCTGCCCCAAAAGGAAGGCCACCCAAGCCCCACCTAAGCCAAGAAGCAGAAGTAAGGACAGTGACAGAAAGGTGAGCATGGTGAGGCATGCTCAGGGAGCCTGGGCCTCCCCTGAACCACCAAGACAGCAGCGGCACACAGACATACATACAGGAAAAACACCCATACCATATGTACAAAAATAAATGAAAATTAAAAAAAACACCTCTTGAGTAGGGTGGGGGTGCAGAGATGTTTTTAGGAACCAGTGACCAAAGAACTCAGGACTAAGAATTTCAACTCCAGCTCCTGGGCATGACAAGGGCAAGCCTGCTGAAAGCCGGTCAGGAAAACCCCCTGCCGAGTGGTGATGGTGAGCACCTTTAATCCCAGTACGCAGGAGCAGAGGCAGGCGAATCTCTGTGAGTTCGAGGCCAGCCTGGTCTGCAGAGTGAGAGTTCTAGGACTGCCAGGGCTACACAGAGAAACCTTGTCTTGAAAAACCAAAAAAAAAAAAAAAAAAAAAAAAAAAAAAAAAAAAAAAAGAAGAAGAAGAGAAAAAGAAAACCATCTCTCTTAGAAACCCTGTGAACAAAACACTAGGGTGCGTGGGACCCAGCGTGGGAACGGTGGGCAGACTCCCAGACCCTTCCTACTGAAGAGCTAGATTTGCCTTCCAGCTGCGTGGCTGTAGGCAAGCCTCACGCTCTTTGTGGGTGAAGCGGGAGTGCCCATTTCTGGCTGGTCACCCAGGCCTGTGCCTGGATCACGGACTTGCACATGCCTGTAAACCACAAAGCACATTCTGAGTTCTGGGATGGCGGGGGCTGCTGCTCAGATGTTTGAACAGTCTTAATGTGGGCTCTGAGCATATGGCGCTTAACCCACCTCCACGGGAAGTGGCACTCCCAGGGCTCCACCAACCCATACTGCATTGGGAAATCAGAAATGCTCCTTGCATTGATAGGCCAGAGCCAAGAAACTCCTTCCCTGGGAGGACAGTCAGTCAGCCTTAGATAAACAGTGACGGTTCTCTGCTGAAGCTCAAAGCTGAAGCAAGCACTACTCCAACAAGAGCCAAGGGCAGGAAGCATGACCATGGGGCAGCTGGGTGCACACTGCAGTCGCACTAACTGCATTCTCTTAGAAGAGCCCATCAGCCTCTCAAATCAGAAAGCTACTTAGAAGTGTCTAGCAACCACCCAGCATCACCAGGGGAGACATTCGGAATCACTGCGTCCTTAGGATTTCTTAGGGATCTGGAACAGAACAGAGATCAGAGGTTGGCTACTCCAGTACTGAGAGGCCTTTTTGAGCAATCAGCCTCCAAACAGATCCATGGGCGCACTAAAGAGGTGTGCGTCTCCCAAGCACTGTTTTAGCCATGGGGCTCTCTGGGAAGGCCCTAGACTTGAGCAGACCTATCCAGAGTCTAGCATCAGACAGTAGAGTGAGAGGGTTCCCCCCTCCCCGCCACCCAAGTGATCCCCAAGGCTAAGGGGTGAGTTTGCTCTCATGTGAACACCTACCAGGTGCCACAGCCTTGTGTGATAAGCTCAGGAAGAAGCTGGCTGTGTTTAGGCTGCCAAAAGTCCCCACAAGGCTCCACCACACACCAGGACCACTGACAAATATGACCCTACAGCCTTGCTGAGGAGTTCTAGCCCAAGAGGCAAGGAAGCCGGG